TTTTATTAAATTTTGAACAAGTGGAGGATTGTTAAAATGTTGTTCAAAATTAATAAAATTCGGATGTGGAATGATGTAGAGTGAAATTGATATTTGGAGCCACATAGTTCAAGGAACTATGCGGTCGCATAGTCCTATACTGGGATTGATGACCTTAGTATGGAATCAACTATGACCGCTAATCCTATGCGACCGCATGGAATAAAATAGTGATCGTTATTTGACCATTTGGTTCAAATTTTAGTGGCTTTTGGAGAGTTTTTTGGCACCATTTCGTATGACATTGTTTCTAGGCTATATATAGATGGTTTGTGATCAATAAAACTATGATTGAAAACATACAAAAACAATTGCCACATTTTGAGAAAAGAAATCATTCCAAAACATAGAAATTTATACTTTCTTCTTCATATATTAAAAAAAAAATTCTTTAGTATTTTTGAGTTTTGGAGGATTACACTTATTGCTTGAGTGTTAATCATTTACAAGACTTGTTTAAATCCTGCAAACCATTTGCCTTAATCCCTATAAGCATTATTCAATTCGATAGGAGAAAAATATAGTTTGAGGATAGCGATATCGGGTTCAAGCCATCGGTTGTTCATTTTCAAATTCATTTCCTGGTTTGGTGTTTGGTTCGTTGCTTTCATTGGCGATCTTCATTTTTCGGGTTTTGGTTCATTGTTTTATTCTGTGATCCCTCAAGTGGAAGTCAACAAATTTCCAACCAACAAAAATTGTATCTTTATCAGAAAATAATGAATTCTGTGTTGAAGACTACATTTATGAGACTCACTAGAAGAAATGCGGACTCATTTATCTTCTTGCCGTGAAGTGTCCCCGTGGAGTAGGGATGGAGGTGGCAGAAAAACAGTTTAGCCTTTTAGGAAAAAATATAAAAGACATTCTAACCGTTGGATAAATCTGTTGGGAGTGTTCTTATCCATTCATTCAACTATAATAACTTCGCTTTTCCTCTGTTATATCCAATCAGAAGAAATGTATAAATTGCCAGCATACAAATTAGGAATATAAATCGTAGTTTTCCACCCAAAATAGAATAATTTTCAACATCTGCTTATGTTCAGATAACATTTCTACTTTTCATTCTATTTGAATGGGCCTGGGCCCAGTTTTCATTTGACATTTCCGTTTGATGGCCTCGACTTATCGTTAAACAGAAAAAAAAAAAAAAAAAAAGGTACAGAAATTTGAAGCCAAGACAAGAAGAAGACGTTATGAATGCAACTTCGACACTCTTGGCGTCTAAAATGAAGGTTCTGGGTGAATGCAAAATAGTAGTCGAGTTCGAATCCAAGTCGTATTTATCTTATTTAAATATTCAACTCGACTCGAAAAACCCTATATTTGTGTAATTAGATTGTTGGGTGGATGTGTACCAATTCGGACCCTTATTTTGTCACCAATCGAACTATGCAACGTAATGCATCCCTTGTACGTACGAACGATTTCCGTGCTATTCGATCATAGAAAAATCAATGCCAAATAAATCATTCATTTTGGCCATTTCGATGGTGAAACACAAGTAGTTTCAACCTACAAACATTAATTCTTTCTCAATAAATATGTTTATACATGAGTTGCTTCATTCTAATCCTAACGAATAAAGAATCGTCCCATCATTGTTCGACGTTCTGTCTCAATGCTTTGCTATACACCAACTGGCCTACTTGCTTCGTCAATCAAAATTGATCAAATTGTACGTTCCCAATATTAACAGCCTCGTAGGAAACAAAAGCACGACAAGCAAATGCATGTGTTGTGATGCAACTAACCTGCTAAAGCGTTTCCAAGAGTCTCTCCCGCTTTTTATTACGCCGGAGAAATTGAGCTCACCTCGACCACCCATGTTACCAGATGCGACTGCCCGGCTCATGATGATACCAGCATTGAATCCACGTGGTGCAACAAGCGGCCACCAGATTTTCTTACGGTGTTCTCTCCTGCTTTTTCTTATCCGGTTGAACTCTTGGCGAATAACATTACGTACGGATTTTAAGTACGAGTTCACGTCATGATCTCTCTGAATAGTTCCTCCAGAACCATATGCAGATCGATCACTCAATATCTCAAGTGGATGCGGTGAGCTCAAAAACACTGCCTGTGCAGCCCGGATTTGCGTTTCTGGCTCACCATCTGATACTGAGTAGCTTAATACATACAAACCGCTCCCTGAAGGAAGAAGATCGTGGCTGGGAGAAAATTTCTCATCCGGTTGAAGAATTAAAAACTCCCCCATTGGAGCATATAACATCTTCTGTTGACGAGATAGCATAAATTAATATTTAAAAATTCGTAGAATTTTGACAATTTATGACGAGGAATTCGAACATTACCTGCTTATTCAGACATGGAAGATTGCGGAAGTTCCCGTTTACAGCCTTAAGAAACTCTGCTACATGATTAGGATAATTGCAAGAGAAAGCTCGGGGAACAATGTCTCTGTGCATTGTGATTGCTCGGACATGATTTCGTGGCAATCCAAGGTTCCGTAGGAGACGATCTCCTCCACACATAATTGATGGTGCACCAAAAGTTATAACAGGAAGCAACGAAGAAACGGGTGCTCCACCTCTCATCAGCAACATGAGATTTACAAGCACTGATAAACTACCACCAAGTGAGTGTCCCGTAAACCGAAACCTGGCACGGTCTCCATGAGATTGTAGGTGTGCACGAATTTCAGGCAACATTTGCTCGTAGGTCCCTTTTGCAGCCTCGTATATACCTCTGTGCACAAGCATATCCAGTCCCTAAAGAAATAAAACTTATCAGTCCCTTTGTTAGGAAGTCTTCCATAAAAGGATTTCATTAATGCAAGTTTCTTTGATTTATTCACATCCAAGAGCCCAACTTAATAAAATGGTTCGCAAGATTGAAGTATTATTCTGAGAATTACCTCAAACTTTACAGGCTCAAAGAGTAGATTGGCCTGCCATGACGCCAGCGACTCAGATCCCTATAGGCAATAAAACAGTAGAAAAATTTAGCAATAGAATAACTTTATCTCCATTAAACTGAATCAGCTGTTAAAAATAAAACTAATCAAACCTTCTACCCCGTCCATGTCTGATAAAAGAACATTACAGAGAAGCACAAGCAAATCTAGTAATCTACCTGAATGACGAAGAATCTTGTCGCACTCTGATCATCATCACATGCAAACCATTCACAAGGAGATGATTTGGTGGATTTTAAATCATCTGCAACAGCCTGCTTTACTTCCTCCTTCGCAGCAACCACTGCTGTCACCGAATCAGTGGTAGCCATTAATGAAGCTACATCCCCACTCATCATGTTAATGTTGTCTATGCCACATTTGGTTTCTTGTAGAAAATTTTCCATCGGCCTGGATTTGGATGCTCTAAAGCGAAGAATGCTCTTTGTATGAGCATGCAAATACGAAGCAGCAGAAGCAACAATCTCATAAGCAGCAGATGCATTTATCTGCTTCCTATCAGACATCTCCACGTCACCTTCTGCTATTACATTTCCTTCTGAATCCTGAGCTCCATTGGCTGTCTTTTCTTCTTTTTGTTGCTCATCAACTGATGCCTTCTCTTTCTCGGCTTTCGATTCTTGTTCTTTCTTTTCTAGTGATGATGTTACAAAGCGTAGCCCACGAAATCTCAGGAGGTTCTTAGTCTGTACGACGAAATGAAAAAACCAAACCAATTAGATATATTCTAATCCTCTAATCTTAACACAATAATTCCTATTATTCAGGAATCCACCAGTTGAATTAACAAAGTAACTTTCACAAAATCCCAAAGGAACATAGCAAATTAGGCAGCAGCGCCACCCAAATTGCGCTCAAGTTGCATACTTCACGATAACAATGTAACTACGTATGGATCACGGTAGCTAACAATAGATTGTCCGAGGTGTATCAAGATTTACAGAAAGGTTCAAGATATATTCTACTTAGCAAACAAAAATAGCCCATTCACAACAAATAATCAAAAGAAAAATGACAGATAAAGCAGATAATCTTCATCCCATTTGACCTTTTCCTTTTTCTTTCAAAAATCAATAATTTGGATTAATGAAAGCATACCTTGATATCAAGATTCAGAAAGAGGTCCAAGAAATTCTACTAAGCAAAAAAAAAAAAGGACAATAATCAATAAGTTGAATTTAATGAAAGAATACCTTGATCTGGGGTATGGAATAAGCTAAGGCTCCCAAATAAGACATTTGAGCATATAACCTGGCTTCTGCTAAGGGCACCTTCTTAAGTAGCTTTGAAAATGATTCTCTATTGAATTCTATCTTTTCATCATCATCTTCATCAATTGTGCACACATCACAATCTTCATTTTCGTTGCAACACTCCCCTTTATCTTCATCATTTGCATTCAGCCCCCCGTTTTTATCCTCATCTTCCAATTTCATCCCCATTTCTTCAACCAATTTACCATCTTTTTCGCCTTCTTTTCGCAGGGACCTCACTTGCAAAATCTTTAATATCCAATTCCCATTTTGTCCTTCCAATTCTCTTTCTTCATTTCTATTCTCTTCTCTTTCCTCCATCAAAACGCCGTCGTCCACCGCAATTGCCGGCTCGCGCCGGTTATTGCCTCCGGACCACAAGGATCTGAATGGGTACCTAGAAGTGAACCCCCACGGCGAATTCCTTGGTGGCGCCGCCGACGTTGACGGCTTCGCCGCCGGCCCCAATGCGCTTATTTGAGAAGGCTGGCTCATACGCACATCCAGCACCCCATTTCCCACGACAGCGGGTGGCGGCGCAATTCCATGAATACCTGCCTTCAAACCCAAAGCATCCATTTCGGAAAGAGAAAAGTATTTTTTCTTTGTTATCGATCAATTTTGTATAAATCTATACAACTGTTTGCGTCTCTATATAGCTATACAGGTAGGAGGTTAACATGCAACACAACTTTGGTTTTGATTTGGCTTCTTTGCTGAATATATGGAAGTTGGAGAGAGATTGTTTCTTCTACGTTGTCAACTAATTTCAACCTTGATTTCCTTGACTTTATTCAGACAGGCTTCCTCTCTCTTTTGAAAGACGAAACTTTTAGGCCAGCCTAAAATTCAAGATCCCTTTTTTCGTGGGAAAAGAAAAATATCAGTAAAATTGTCCAAGGGTATGCTTGAGTTCCATCTTTTGAGGAAAAATTGATTTTGAAATAGTAATTTATAGAGAAAGTGTAATTAGAAGGGGGAAAAAAAATTTAAATTTATATATAAAATTAATTTTTTAGAAAGTGTTTGTTTGAAAAATGAGTTTTGAAATAATTAGACTCAAACGGGGTTAAACAAATCAAATAATTTATCCCATTGTCAAAAAATGCACGTTTGGCAAATGAGGCTACACCTTTGAACTGTAAGTCCCACAATTTTTGAACGAAATTAAGTTATTTAATTGTTTTTTATGTTCGAGATTTCACAAATGCTGAATTTGTCCCGAATACCGCGTCATTATCTTTGCAGATCAACTAGAAATGTAGCATGACGTGTCTACGAGGTTTTGCTTTTGTTAAGGATTTGTCCTGCAGTTCGCCATACTCACGAAATCAAAATCGGCAAGCTGTCGTCTGCTCAACACGTGGCCAGTTGGATCCTGTCTTTTGAGCCTTAGGCCATGTTTGGTAGAGATTTTAATCTATGATGTTTTTGATAGGCAGAAATTTCTCGGAAAAATGTTTTTCAACTTTTCAAATTTTCCACATTTTTGAGGAAAACAAATTCTTGAAGTTTTGGTTGGTAAATATTTTCCANTTGAAATTGATTTCCCACCTTTTAGGTGAGTTTTCATTTTCCAGTTTTTTTTATGGTAATTGAAAAAAATTCTAGACCCAATGGTAAAAAAAATTATCACTTTTATTGACAATTTTCATGCAAAACAAAGCCAAATGAATGGTATTCAGTATTGTAATTTTTTAATTTTTTTTTTTTTTGCAATTGAAACAAATTCTAGACCCAATAGTAGAAAAAATTATCACTTTAATGGACAATTTTTATAAAAAAGAAGTCAAACGGATACTAAACTTTCAACATTTTCCATGAAAAATTATATCAATCAAATACAATTAATTACAATTCACAGTAAAACAATTTATAGACAAATCAATTCTCAGTAAAACATTTTCTTTCCACCTATTTTTCACATTTGCAATCAAACAGACCCTAAATCTAAATCAATAATTAATTTTAAATCCACATTTTATCATTATTTATCAAAATCTATTAAAAATCTTATTTTAATCCTCACGATAAGTACTTATTAAACTACGCCCATGATAACTATTTAAAAAAAAAAATTTATCAAATTCATTTCTAACCACACATTCTCACAATAAAATATTATACACGTATACTTAAAACATTTTTCTAACCACATACCCTCCAAAGAAAAAGAAATACTATTTTAAAACTTATTTTTCCAAAAGAATTCATTTTAATGATTATCAAATAAGGGCCAAATAAGAATAACAAAATTTCATCTTTCAAATTCTGGTTAAAAATCAAGAAAATATCGTAATTAATTTAGTGCTTGTAAATTCCATCAACTTTTTAATCGGTCGAACTTCAATTTTGACCAAATATTTCATGAGATTCACATCATTTATAAATTTTTCAATCATACATTTTATCAATATATACTAGAACTTTTAGCAAACGACCCCTTGACTTAAACTAATTGTAGGGCCATTACCATAGGCATTTCCGGCCTCGTCTTTTAGAATAAACTAGAAGTCTTGGGATGTTTCTACTATAATTAAATTAATTAATTGAGAGACTTAAGATAAATTGAGGGATAAGAATTATAATGTACATAACAAATTAAAAGTAGGTTAAAAGTCTTGTGGTTTCTTGCTCATTGTAGGGGCCAACACACACTGTCTCCTGTCGATGGATATTAATTAGAATGTGTAAATTAGAATAGCAGCATTGATTTTGAAACCTTTTTCCAAATCTTAATTAATTAATCTACCAAATTTTTATAGCTACGAGTTTGACGGCCATAGATATAACTTTCAAACAATAAATAACTATCATGATGCTATTTGGCCCTCCAATTTGGAGAATATGTGAAAATTACACAAGCACCTACATTTCAATTTTCAATTTCAAAAATCAAGTTATGACTATTTTTTTTCAAAAATTGGGTTATAATTTTTTATTTATTTATTTAAAAAAGGCCAAAGTGGAAAAAAGACCAGGTCAACTAATCATTTCCACTTATTTCTTCTACCCACCACCCAACCAATCCCAAACCCTAAGAATCTCTCTCCCAATCCCCGGTGCGGTAATGATGAGGATGAGGACACTGCATTGTCGCCGATGAAGAGGAGATCAAAGCCTCTACGTGCGAAAGAGCAGCAGTTGCGCCTTGCAATGATCTGTACCAAGAGCCTCTGCGCACGAAAGCGCAGCAGCTGCTCGCACCTCTATAGCGATCTGTGCTAGGGTATTGCACTTTCCAACTAAGTCAGTCACAGATCGCCGCACACAACGATAATCTGAAATTTTCTCAGGTTTGTGGTGTTTCTCCGACGATTGTAGTGGCCGACGGTTCACGCGATAGCGACACTCAGTGATGGTGGGTTTGTGAGTTGCCGCACACATTTTCCCTTCTCACAGAGGCACTCTACCCACTGTCCAAAATGGCGATGCTGTGAGCTTCACTGCTCGTGGCCCTGCTTGCTTTTTTAGTTGTTTTGATCTTTGTGATTTGCTGGTTGTTAGTAGTGGTGGTGCGATAGTGGTGGTTGTGGTAGAGTGTTATGGTGGTGGTGGAGATGGTTGTTGGGTTATTGTGGTTTTTATTGGCAAGATCTGGCGATGGCGATTTTATTGGTGGTGGTGTTATGATGTTGGTGGGGCTGTTGTGGTGGCAGTAGCGGTGGTAGCGATAGTGAGGTGACAGTGGTCGTGAGTGGTGGTGGTGGTACCCACTATTTGATGTTTGTAACCAACTATTTGGTTATCTGTTATCAACTATTTAATTGTGACATAAAAATTCAATAATTTAAGACTAAAAATAATTTGTGACCAACTAATTTGAAAATTTGTGATCGACAAATAAATTGTGAATTATAATTTTTTTGATTTGTGACAGATGAAATAATTTGTGACCATTAATTTGATAATATGTGACGTTGTGAATCATAAGTACACATATGTGATCATTAATTGTATAATTGTGACATTTGATTAATTAATACCTGAATTGTGAAACTTAAAATTTGAAAATTGAATTGCCTCGTACTTGAGGCTCGGTGAATTTTTCTCGGAGAATAAACTTCAGGGCCCCATCTATGACAGGCTAGAAGGCCCAATGTTTATTTAGCTTCTCAGTAGGCCGGATTTTTATTTGCAGGCCCAATAGTAACAAGGCCCAATTGGGTATAGAGATGCCAAAATAGAATCCTAGAACATAAAACGGATGGCCGATGAATTGAGCACGGTTGAAATTTGGGTTTTTGCTTCAGGTGTGTGTTTTCGGATGGATTCATTCTTGTAATTTCTTGCTTTTATATCTCAATTCGTGATGACGTCTTTTGGTTTCATTGAATTTTGTTGTTTTCGGATAGATTCTTTTTATTCTGAATTTAGTACTTTAATTTTGAAGTTGCAATTAGTCGTTGGGTTAAGTTAATTACTCTTGTGCACATGGTTTTGAAGTGTTTTCATTGCGGAAATATTTGATTAGAACTTAGTTTTATTGTTCTAGGCAATTATTTATTGGAAATTTCTGTGTATTTTTGGACATGGGTTTTCACCTGAGCTTCCAGAGTTTGAATATATTTTATTCAGCTATCAAATTCATCGATTGAGTTTACCTGGAATAGTGTATGATTATATTATCAATGATGATCTTTTCCTTATTTCCGAGTTCATTTTGAAATTGTAGTTTTTCTAGACTTCCGGTAAATCTGTCCACATGTTATTTTCCCTGTGGATTTGAAGTAAAGTTATAATATTTATCTGTGTCATGGACCTGCAGATATACTGCTGTTTAATAGTTTGATTTGTAGGTCTGTGAACTCTTGCTTGGGCTTTGTTGTTACTTGATGCATATTCTGTCGAGCAACTCCGCGAATCTTTACAATTTCATTTTTATACAATTGTAAACTTTAGGAAATTCCTTTCATTTTATTATCTTTTCGCTTCATTACTGGTTCGGGAGATAGTGAGTAAATCCAAGGTATTTATTAATTGTGGTCAAATGAGCTGGGGCTCTGTTGCACTTAACTGTTTATCAGGACTTATTTTGGATTTTATATTATGTTGTCAATGTTCACTCTGCCTTTGCACTTTGGATGAAGGGTAGAAGTACTTGAGGATGAATACCAATACTGCTGGACCTTCCTCCAAATCAAGAGCGGGAGCATCTCAACCTTCCGAAAGCTCATTTAAGCGCAAACGTGGAATGTTTCAGAAAGATTGTGCGATTTTAGTATTCTCTCTCACTGTTTCTTTGTCTTTGGCATTCTGACCATGCTTTTATTTATTTTTTTACCTAATTATTATTTGATGGGATGCAACAGTACAGCATATGATGTATGGTTTCGGCGACGATCAAAATGTATGTTGGGTTTACATATTCCTTTTTCCCTTTCAAAACTTGTATACTTTGCCTTTGAAGTTTCTGGTTTTCTAAATTCTAATCTTACCTATAATTCCCTGGTATTGTAATTGATGCGCTATAGCCACTTCCAGAGACCGTGGCTCTTGTGGAGGATATTGTTGTGGAGTATGTAACAGATTTGGTGAGTCATTTTGTTCTTTTCTTATCTCTTTGATCATATGAACTTGGGTTTTATTTGCTGTAAACCTGCAATTCCATGTCAACCATAACTGTAACTTCTACAGGTCTATAAAGCTCAAGATACTGCATCTAAAAGAGGAAAGCTTTTGACTGAGGATTTTCTCTTCTTAATTCGCAAGGTACAAATTGTGGCATATGCCTCAGGCATATAAAATTATGAAGGAGATGTTTGGATTAGGTTGGTAGGCAATATATGATGGAATTTTACATAAGATAGATATGAAAAATAATAAATATTTCTCAATTTTGAAATATTTTGTTTAGGAATCATGGAGATCTGCATGTCATTTTCTTCTTGGCAATTGCCATTTTCAAGTACTTTGAACTTTTAGCTAGCTGGTCCAGTGAAAGTTTGACAAATTGAAATTGCCATAATGGATCTTGTAGGATGTGCCAAAACTTAATCGATGCACGGAATTGTTGTCCATGAATGAGGAACTGAAACAAGCAAGAAAAGCTTTCGAGGTAGATGAAGAGAAACTTGCTACAATTGACTGATAGCCTAATGTGCACTTCAACAAAAATTCAAGCGTTTGCAATTCTATTGTCAATTAAGATTATAGTTAATCTCTATGTTAATTCACAAGCATACAGGATAGAACATCGCTTGTTATGGTATTATTGGAGCTATTTTTGAATTTTTTGCAAGGAAAATTGGATATATATTGAGGTTATTATAAATATTTGGGATTTTATTTATCAATCCCCATTTTTTCGTCATGTGCCCCGCCTACTTGTGCTTCATGGCCCCCTATTGTAGCATGCATAATATTGGCGTCCTGAATGTCTTTGCATGCTATAATTGCAGCTTTATTAGCCACATCTGGTTTTCAAAAGCTCATAGCTGAGAATTCTATACAATCCTTTCGAGTTTCGATCAGGCAATGTCGCAAAATAAGTCATTAAATGTCATGTTATACACTATTCCAAACTGCTATAATATTTCATAAAATTGGCAACTTGACATAAAAATGACTAGATATCATTGAAATATTGAGAGAGAGGTATCAAAAACCTTCAGCATCAACGAAATGCAATGCAAAATAGCAATCTACAACTCAATACTATACTATCAAGTCCCTCGACTCAGTTAAATATAATATCAATTCAATAGGAGTATATGCAGAAAATGACACATTTAATGCCAAACTCAGCTCTATGCTACGAAGGTGTAGGCCCAGTTGAGGAAGAGAACCCCTCTTAGAGAATATATGTTACTCTTTAGGAAAAAAGGAGGGAAAAGTTTATCTAAGCAGTGGTTGGAATCTTCCACAAGAACGGCCATGTTATAACGGGAAATATTTTAAACCGATCAGAGTAGAAAACCGCAACTTCTATCCAAGAACTTCCTTGATCTTTGTTTTCTGGTCCTCCGTTAGTGAAGTGGGAAACAAAACCTCAAACGTGACATATAAATCTCCCTTCTTGTTGCTAAAATGTAATGGCATCCCTTCACCTTTAAATTTCCTTACTTCCTTGGGCTTTGTAATACCCTGGAGGGAAGAAAATACACCTCTATATTATTCATGCTTCGGACAATAGAGCTTACACCCTACTCAACAAATTCGCAACTAATTCAAGAAAGTGAATAGGATAGGCTAGTTTAGCTGGGAAAAAATAAAAAACGAATTAAACAAAAAGAAAATTAGGTTCTACTCACATTAAAGCTAATATCCACGAGATGATCATCGAGGTGTTTAATGGTCTTCTCAAAACCGATGAGAGCTTGCACCTGAATGAAGAGAGTTTGAAAAATCAGTTATGTTTTCTATCAACCATGTAGGTAACAATCATGCTGCATACTACAAGATATATATTGGTGTGGTAAACAGTAAGGAGACTGGAAAATGTCAGTCGTGTATTGGCTAATTGCATTACCCCTTCAACGGTCCTTTATATACCATCTCATGAAGTGAAACAGCAGTTAACGCTATAAAAATAAACAATTAACCCTCTGTTTGACAACCATTATTTGGGGAAAATAGAGTTTTGAATAGTGATTTTTAGGAGGCTGTGTGGTTAAAAAGTAAGAAAAAGTTTTTTTGTTTAAGTGCAAAATATTTTATTGTGTGAATGTATGGTTGAAAATGAGTACGTAGAAAAAAAAGATTTGAAAATAATGGTTGTCAAACATGGGCTAAGATGACTAATTTTACTATTTCTGTGAGTAACACAGAGAGTAGATACCAGCTCGTGATTCATGACCTATGACTTGTACAGAGACAGAAGTATTCTCTGTACTTTCTTCAGGACATTTTAAATTTGCACCAACGGGAGGCATCCAGGATGGAGATATCCAAAAGTCTGCCTCTATAACATCAATTATAATGATATTCTAAATTTTATAAACCCTATCTACACCTAAAAGCCCAGCATCAGACATGCCTAAAAGTGACTCCGTGACTCCAAAATCATGTTATCAGTCTTTGATGCGGCTACCTTATCACAACTTAGCACTTGAGCCACGGAAGTGTATAATCAACATTTTGCCAAACTCTGCCATTGCATGCCTTCTAAAATAGTCAATGACTAAATATGGAATTAAAACTGAATTTGTGAAGTACAGACTGAAAACGTATCTTCTAAACCACATGATGATTTCTTACACAATCAGTTACAACTTACAATGCAACAACTTTTTCTATAATAAGTTTTTACAAAGCTCTGCCCAACTAGCACAAAGTAATTTACAAATAAAGAGCCCATTTGGCCCTAACCCTAAATTAGAGAAGGCAGAACAAATCGATCAGAAAGCAAGATTGCATAATTGATGAAAAGGACATTACCAAGGTAATTGTAACTGTTGTACGGATGTCATTTCCTTCCCTTGTGAAGACATCATGAGGTGCAGTATGGATGCGAAACTGTCCAAATATGGCAAAGCAAGTGAGACAGGAATAATAGCAATCCAGAAAGAACTAAATAGAAGCAGGTCAAAAACCACACAAAAGCCAAGGATCTAACCTTCAGATCTCCACCTTCACCATCTATTTTGGGCTCACCGTCCTCATAGAAGACCACTTCCTGTGCTAAGAAGAAATAAGTGGTTTGGAAAGACTAAAAACTAATGCACTTAGGAAGACCAGACAAATGTGTTGGAACAAAGAAATATATAAAGAGAAATTCTCTATCAATCCCTTCCAAAGCATAGCATAGATGTAGATTTGATCAAAAACAAAGATCTTAACCACTCATAAAATTTATGCCGATAAAAGCTTACTTGACCATCTTGCATGCCTTTCTCAATATCCACAGTGATAAAATAGCCTTCCCTTTCATACTTCACATTTGGGCATTGTTCGCAGACCTGGAAAAAAAAATTATAGCTTAGGAATTCAAGAGCTAAATGCAAAAAAGCCAAAACAACCAAGTTGGAAGGACACCTTCCTTTGAAAGAAGCCATTTGTACTATTTTCACGAGGAAAACATACCTGCTCGGTCATCTGCTGGAACATTCCCGGACCAATTTGCCTGTGATAAACTTCATTTCTACAATTGCATTGTCGTTTTCCTGGGGCCGGTTTTATTACATTTTTCTCTCTCCACACCTGATGGATCTCACAAACAACATAATTGGCACGAGCACGTAAATTAAATATATGGTAGTTGCAATTGAATAATTTGAATTCTGCAAAACCAACTCAATCTTGCAGTGTTTAATGCTGGTCGTATTTCATGTGAGTCATGCTAAAATTTATGTAGCTCAAAGATGTCATTGTGATCGCTCCTTAAAATTATGAACAGACTATGTTAGAATCTTAAGTTATCGACGATGAACTTCTCATTTTTTTCGAAAGCAAGCCAAACTTAAATCCTATAGACTCTTTTCAGTATCTGATGAAGAAATAAGTGAAATCATAGGACAAAAATGCTGGTAGTACAATAAAAATAAAAATTGGATGGAATGACAATACTTTGGTATGATGTTTTGCTGCATAAACTAGTAAATAAAAAGAGCAAACATCCATTTCAGACAAGCTATTATATTCTAGCTGAAACAAATGAGTCCGGGACTATCTCAACCATTCAGTCAGACTGATAATTCATCTGTGAAAATAAAGGTGTCTGTTGTCATATATTAGAGTCTTTACATTACTTAAACAGAAATAATATATGACTAAGCTTACTCCTTAAAAACTTAAGTGTACATGTCCATTACCTTCAAAGAACCCCCCATGTATAGATCTTCTAGCGTCGCATCCAATTCAACAATCACATCATCTCCTTTCACAATCTTCTCTTCCTCTTCCATTGGACCTCCACCAAAGAAACTGGAAAAAAATCTTTCATTATAGAGTTCGGACAAAAAAATTGATAAAAGAAAAGAAAGAAGAGAATGCCAGCACAGCCCAGAGAAAAGCTAACAAAACAACCAAATAGGATTACAGGGATTTCCAAATCAACTACTCGTGTATTATTTCATTTACTCTGCTAAGCTGCAACAACCAAAAGTGAGTGCTTTCTTGTCTCCATGACGGTGAATGTTGGTCTAGGACTTTAACAAACAACCATAAGCTAAATTGAATGGAAATCGTTGCAAACAATATAAAGGAAAAAGAAAACTGATTAACAAGTTTCCACCATCTAGACATGGTTGGCTGGAAAAGGAAGTAGGCGAAAGAAGTGGATTAAAACCCCCACGAGGGGTTTGCCATTGCTTAAGCATTTTTTATTTATAGGCACTCTTAACTCTTAAAGCTTGCTTGACAAATTGGAAGTGTTTATGGTTGCTCAAAAAATAAAAATTAATAAATAAAAATGTTGAAGATAGAATACTAACTTTTCTAAATGGATTGAAGCACCCGATATGTTTGAGCTTACAATGTTTAAACTCTTGAGAGCTTACAGGAACTACTTCACAGCACTAAACAGTGCTAATAGTTAAGCACAAATACTCAATAAACAACCACTGCACTGCCGGTACCAACAATATGCTGTGCAATCTCCATGAAAAGATTCAATTATCTCCGGTTATGGTTGGATATATTGCCATGACAATGAAATTCTTCATTTTTCTATTTTTTCTATTTCATTTTTTGTTTTGCATGACAGAACTATGGCATGGAAACTAGATGCACAATCAGACTTCTAATGGACTTGATTGATCGGGCAATAAATATAAGCCAAAAAAAATGAGCTAACAATCATAGCACACCAACTCAGAGCAGAAATAACTAATTAAGCCCCCGTTTGATGGAAATTATTTGGGAAAAACGATGTTTTGAATGGTGAATTTTCGGACAATGCGTGGTTAAAAAGTGGGGAAAAATTTTAGGTCTACGTGCAGAATATTTTGTTGTTTATAGTTTAATATTAGTACGTAGAAAAACAAGTGTTGAAATAATGATTAACAAACAGGGGTTAAGTAAAGAAACATATAGAATTATAAACTTACGAGCTAAAGATGTCTTGAACATTCATGCCCCCACCTCTGCCACCACCACTTGCAGCATGCTGTTTAAGACCCTCTTCACCGTACCTATCGTATATATTCCTCTTTTCGCCATCCGACAATACTTCATAAGCTAAATAATTCCAAGCAATCAACACGGTCATGCTTTTTTTAATAAACAAAATGATGCTAATTCAAGCAATGAGTTTCTTAACCATCATGTTGAAATAAGGATTGTCAAAAGAGAAATAAAGCAATACCATTATTGATTTCTGCAAATCTCTTGTTAGCTTCTTCATTTCCTTGATTTTTATCAGGATGATACTTCAACGCAAGCTTTCGATAGGCTCGCTTTATTTGCTCATCGGAAGCGCCTTTAGGCACTTGTAGAATCTCATAATAACTCTTCCTGAAACAATTAACAATCAATCAAATCAAATCGTAAAAAGACAAATCACTTATGCATACAAACATACGACTATTTCTGTAGCAAAAATGTCTGATGCTTACGCGGAAATGGCAATTACACAGCATGACAAAATGCAGAAGAATAATAATTTTGATCTTCGATGCTCCATAGTGCTGGACACGGAGATCAAAATAATTCAGACTCTTCCACTCCAAAATCGGATCTAAAAATTCATAGAAACCAAAAATCTATATCTTGATTTGCATATGTATATGTTACTGAAACTCTGTAGTCGTATAAATTTTTGTTGATATTAAATTATTATTACCATTAAGAAAAATCTAAAAGCAAATGCCGAACCGCGGAAGGGGTTGTTTACTTTGCGAAGACGGGGAATTCGAACAGATTGCTACGTGGTGTAGAGGGGCCTAACCAATGAGAGTGCGCTCTAACTTGTTCTGACCAATAATTCAGCGACACGTGTCGAATCTAATTCTTCTTTTCCAGTCGGGCGGGTGACGTGGGTCAAAGTTCCACTGAAGACTATTTCCGATACTTTTAAACCCATGTCTGGTCCATGTCGTAAGTAATTTAACTCTTAATCACTTCTAAATTTTTATCTGCACATTGGGTGTTTGACGAAAATTAAAATTAGATTTTTAGTAAATTGTAATAAAAATTTTTGAAGTGTGTGGTTGAAAAGATATAAGACCCATAAAAGATGTTAATATTGATTGTTTGACTTTGACTTAAATTAAAATCAGATTTTAATCCGACCTAAACACGCCTAATTTTTTAAGGATCTACAAGTAATAATGCTAACTTATCCATAGATCATCGGTAATTTGTATACAATTCTTGACACAACGGATAGTTACAAATTGATAAACCTCATGGTAAGGCCACTGGTTTGAGTATCGACCTTTAAGCACAAACCCAATGTATAAATCATCAATTTGTAGATTCATCCCCTTTCAAGTCCAGATTTTCATCATGCTCACATTTTACAATCCGACATTCCCTCTCATCAATTATAGCCTTTGTATCAGAACATGGCTGCTCCTCAACTTCCATATGATGCCCAGTTTCGTGCGGCGATTCATATTGTGATGAGCCTAGAGGTTGTGCTCTCATTTGTACAGATCGTAAGAGGGCCGCCCTCCTTAAGTCTGCTGAGTGGCATATGTCACTGGGCGATGACGGGAAATGACCCTCGGTATCTGAGCCTCGTTGGCGTTGCTGTGAAGGATATGAAGTACTAGCTGGACCTAATGAAAATCCAGGTTTTTGGCACCTGTAGGGAGATACTGGCCTGGTTGGCAAGCTTTCAGGCTGAGAAGAACAAGTGTTTGTAGAAGTCTCATAGTATCTTGAGTCATCTGAATCTTCATAAAGTGGTGAATACATTTCATCCCTGAAACAGATAAACAGAAAATTAAAACTGGGTGTTGTGTAACAACCACAACTGATAAGGCGGGAGACGGAACAGTAGTCACAATCGTGCAAAATCTATAGTAAGAAGATAATTACAAACTTCATAAAATAAAATAAACCAGATTTCAATGTCCAAAAAAATCAAGCAGGTAATAACACAGAATCAATGAGGAATCTCTAATTGATATTTATATCCCAAACCTTCACTTAAAACTTGTCCCTGCTTAATTAAAGAATCTAGGCACAATTCAAAATTATGGAACAGGAAGGAGCAAAAAAAATAAAAAATATTACAAATCAAAATGTTGTAAGAGGAAAACACGTCCATTTTTAAGCTTTTACATTCTCAAATATGCATCTATGGTTGTCAGCTTAGGTAAATAATGGTTGAGGATATAATGGTGTAACGAGGATTTATAGATTGAATGTTCTCCTAAGAGCACATCTCTACTTAGATGTGTTTATGGGAGGATAACGATCACCTCCTACTACCTAGATTGCCCCATATTAAAAAAAAATAAAAAAATCAAAGGACCATAAACATAAAGAGAGCCTTTTTTTGCCTATTCCGCATAAATAAGAAAACCCAGGACCTTCCAGAAAAAAATTCTCTCGAGAAGAGAGAGAGAGAGAGAGAGAGAGAGAGAGAGATGGAGGATGACAAATGACATTTTAAGTTTCAAGGAAGTAAACAAGGCAATGAGTAAGTACATTAAAAGTTAAGACTATAAATGTGGTGGAATTCCTTCCGACCTGGTACATGTTTGGGTGGGCTTATTTCTAAAATATAAGACTGCTTTTGACTTATTTGAGGCTTATCTTGACAGTAGCCACCCAAAGACGCTCTAAAGCGACTCTGCAATGAAAAATGTTTACAATTTCATACTACCCAGTTATCATCATAAGACTGCACTAACTTGCATGAGTAGTAAGAATGAACAAAATATATGAAATTTGTTCCAGGCTACTGTCGTAAGCAACCAATATCCCCCTCGAAAAAAAGGTCCATACTTTTCTTTATAAGAACAAAAATTCTCAACCAACCAAAGCACACAGTACGTGATCCCAAGAAGCACAATGTGGAGAATGGTTTAAACAAACAAAAGTTCTAAATGCTCTCATAAACCCTTCCAACATCCTTAAAACTCTTAGCTTCATATTATATATTAAAAGCTTAAAATCAACAAGAATAACAAACAGCCCCAACTTGTTTATGTCAGAAGTCTCTTTATATCTATATGCCTTGCCTGCCTATTTTGATAAAGCTTTTCATATAAGCAAACTAAAGTTACGCAATCAATACTTGAAACCCGATTTGGGAACGAAACATGACTCTCTGACCCATGATATTCAACCACCACCATCATCTATGTATATTATGTGCATTCGCATGTGCACGGTGCGGTGAAAATGATGCAACAAGAAAAATCAAATTTCTGCTTAACCTTTTTCGTAAGCAATAAATTCCGTCATTAGAACTAGCATAGGATAGAGAACTTTCAGACCTTTCAGGAGAATCCATGAGATTTTCAGACAGGGAATCTCCAACCGTTAGTCCATTCAAACTTGAAGCCATTATCTGCATCATTTTCGCATAATAAAAATTAGAAACCTAAGTGCACACACAGAATAGAAAAACCAAAAAAAGGTACATATAAGATGCATTTCACCTCGAGATTTATACTGATCAAAAAGAGGAAATCAATTTTACACGATCAATATATTTCTGCAACAATTACAAATTAATCTCACAAAATTAAATTTTCTGCCTCTTCTACCGAGAATTACACCTAAAAAATCGATGAAAGAAACTAACATCTTTATCAAATGTCTAAAGCATGCACCACATCACACTCCCAACTGCCTTAAATGTTAAAACAACTCCACAAAAATCATATAAAAAATAAGAAAGAAAGAGATTAAAAGAAACTGTAATTCAAACAACAATAAATAGCATCACGTACATGTGTGCGAGAGAGATACCTCGCTAAGATAACGCTTGTGGGAGTGAAGATTATCGAAATAGACGTCGTTTTCAGGATCTCTACTTCTCTTTCCACTTGGCGACGCCATCGTGGATGCCGCCGGCGATAAAGAAGAATTGTTCGCTTCAGAGCCCATTTCTTTAACAACAAATTAACAATAATAAGATATTTATTCCCTCCTGTCACTTCAATAAATCTCACTCAGCAATAAAAAAAATTTAAACTGGGTTACTAGAAGTGAGTCTGTTCGCGGAAATTGGCAGTGTTTAGTGATAGCGTGTTTGAACCAATATATTTTGGAACAGTAGATTGATGGAAAATTTGTGATTAAAAAAGAAGGAAAAATTATTGATGTGATAAAAAATATTATTTTATTGAAAAATGTGTGGTTGAATGAGAATGAGAATGAGAATAAAAAAGCATTTTCAAACAGGGGCTAAATAGTTTTTCCTTTGGGAAAGTTTGCTTCATCATTCTCACGGTGTACCACCAATAGAATTCAGCCTGGGTTGTATTATAACCTGTGCTATAAAATGCGAAAGACTGGACATGAAAAGCTAGACGAGCCTTAACAAGCCGTAAACGTAAAAAAAATTATTCTTATTTTAATATTATTTTTAATCATCAATCTAAAAATCATTTAATATTTAAAATCATACCTACCAAACATCTAAAATTATAAAATACTATATTACAAAAAGGAGGGCTTAAGCACTGAAAAAAAGTGTACATAGATATGAAACAAGATGTTTTGCCCACGCTTCATGCCTAGATGACACCGGAACGATTTTTGGAATACTGATTATAACTATGCACCTCTTTAAAATGGACTGAAAATGTAGATTTTGATCAAAGGGGTATTTATAGAAATGAGGAAGTTTTACTTACACCTACTTTTCAACTTCTCATTTCAATGTCTAGGTACAAGATTTTTCTTTCAAAAATCAAGTGTACCCTATCCTATCCTATCCTATCCTACCCATCCACCCACCCAATTCCACACCACAACCTACCAACCTAACCCTAGTTCATTTCCCCAAACCCGATGATTCAAAACCCTTGATAGCGACGTTGTTTCGATCTTCTTCTTCAAGTCGACTCAAGAACGAGACATCAACATACATTCGTGGAAAAATGTGTGGCGATGAAAGGAGGTGTTACAACAGACTTTTGGGTGCCAACCATCGCCACTGCTTCTTTGCAGCGCTGTTGCTATGTGTGGGTGTTATGTGTGCCTGGGTGTGTGTATGTATGTAGTTGTGGTGGTGTGTGATTTGAGGTGGTGCATGGTGTGTGTGGTGATGGTGGCGCCGTGATGCTAGTTGGTGGTGATGGTTATTGATGGTGATGATGGTTGATGTGGTGGTGATGCTGTTGGTTTGATATGCGTGTCTAGGTGTAGTTGGTGTTGGTGCTGTTGCATTGTTGGTGAGGTGGCAGTGATGGGACATGGATCTGAGGCGGCGAGGAAATTTCAGGTAGTGTCAATAATTGTAGATGGGATAGGGTGAAGCGAGGGAGATGAACGATAGTTTGTGACTAATTAATTGAGTGTTAATTTGATAATTTATGACCAAAAAATAAGTTGTGATCAATTAATTTGTGAGAAAGAAAGTTATGACATATTTACTTAATAAGTCACAAAATTATTATCGGGAGGTCATAAATGTGATCACCTAATTTTTTTTAAAAAAAAAAATCGCAAGCTTCTTATTTTTTAAAGTATATATTGAAACCTTTAAAGTTACATATTTTTCCCTATAGAAATATCCTTGTTTTTTGAAAAATCATGAGAAACATGGATTAAAAGACAAATACACTAAGGATCCGTTTGATTGCAACGGTGGAAAATGGGTGGAAAGAAAATGAATTTCAGGAAAAATAATTGTCTAGAAATTATTTTGTTGGGAATTGTTAATTAAGTGCGTTTGGTTGGTATAATTTTCCACCCGAATTTTTTTGAAATTTTGGATCTTTTGTTTCATGTTTGGCCTCCGTTTGTACGAAAATTGTCCATTAAAGTGATTTTTTTTTTTTTTTACAATTGGTTATGAAACATGTTTCCATTGCCAAAAAATAAAAAAACAAAAACAAAAACAAAACAAAAAAATTTTTTTTTGCTCAAAAACTATTTTTTCATCAAAGTTTAGAGTTTGTTTGGCCTTCATTTGTATCAAAATTGTCCATTAAAGTGAGATTTTTTATTACAATTGGTTATGAAATTTGTTTCCATCAAGGTTTAGTGTTCATTTGGTCTTCGTTTATATCAAAATTGTCCATTAAAGTGAAATTTTTTATTACAATTGGTTATGAAATTTGTTTCCATTGCCAAAAAGTGTAAAAAAAAAAAATTTAACGTGCACCAGTGGGAAAAAAATTTCTTATAAAAAAAATCCTATCAAACATTACTAAAAGTGGGAAATGAAAAATGGTCCCTAGAAAATCTCACCTATCAAATAGGCCCTAATTTCACCCAATAACCATCGTAATATTTAAGGTGCTAACTGGAGAAGGCCGATCAACGGCTCAAGTTTCACTCTACCATGCTTCAAATCATTGGAGGGAAATCACAAAAATGCAAAGAAGAATTTTTACTAGTATTTTTGGATTTTATTTTACTCGTAAAAGTAAATTTCTCCAATAAATTCCCAATTATATTAAATTTCTTTAATTTCAAATCAGAGAAGAAAATATGCTGTGTATTATTATATTCTCTGGGTTTTTCTCCGCAGCAATGGTGATTGTTGTACTCTCTCCTTCTTTACAATCCTTTCCTCCAATTGAATCATCCCTCAGATTTTCCTTTCATAAAGCTTCCGCATTTCACAATACCGAACTATGTCGTTCCTTAACATTTGGAAGATCCGTCTCTTGTAGTTGCGATTACACTCGACATTGAATACTTACGGGGTTCAATAGCTGAGGTACATTTGATTCTATAGAATTCATAGTGTCCCAAAAAGTCTTGGCAGAGCTTTTGCCAATCAAATCTTCCAGCAATTCATGCACAAGCAGTGGTCAAAATGTTTCCTCTTAGTTGGAAAATGGAACGATTTCTTGATTTGACTTTGCGTCCCCCCTGCTGGTCTTCTCTCTATAATTCCTTTGGGTTTGAAGTAGTATTGATAGCAATATTGAAGTTGGAAGTAGCATTTATTTAGCTCTGTCTCTGAAGTCGATAAGTTAGGATTCCTTAATGCAAATGATACGTTTTACATGATTTGTATGCGAGGGAAATAATTTACTATTTGGTATGATCACCTTCTCTTTAATTTTCATTCGCAAGCCCATGCTAGCTTACATTCTTTGACCCTCAATTCACAAACCGTAACAATAATATATCCTTGACTTTGAATCCCAAGCAACAAAGTTTTTCCCTACTTTGGGACTAAAGATTATCTTCGGTGATGCTACTTATACATCAAGATGCATATAGGATGTTACACCCCCCTCACATGGGGGGTAGTCCTACCTCCCATGTGAGGGGGGTGTAACTCTTATATACATGTCTTGTATTTTGAGTGTTCATTTTGATATTAAATTCTAACTACACATGTTGATTTTGATCATATCATTCTCCCCTAAGATTCGATTGAGGTTTTTAAAAATGAGTTGGAAAGATAACTCAAAGGGATACACGTCTTCCAGAAATATAATTTTTTCAATTCGAACATTTCCTACGCCAAAAATGGGTCTCAAACGGAGACTAAAAATCTGAAACATAACTTTTTCGGCTAAATGTTGATATGTGATAGTACTTAGACTATATTTCATCCCTTTGTCTTCTTTCCTCATCTAATTGATACCTAACACTCTCAGATTTTTATCATGAGGTTCGACGTAACCTTTGAGTATTTTCATTTCAGTCCCCAAACTTTGTATTTGATACAATTGAGCCATTTTCCGCTATCTTTGCATTCTTTTCTCCAATTCTTCATTAAATATTGAGTTTTACCTAGAAAATGAAATATAACACAAGTTATGTAGTATTTTATCCAAAAAACAGTAAAATATCATCATTTACGATCTCGAATAAGTGTAGAAACTACACTTATCGCTTGCCTCAAGCATTAGGTTGTATAGTGGTAGAGATGAACTCAAACGTTTTGTATTGTGGAGTCAAATATTAAGCTGTAATTTTTTTGAAGCATATTATTAACGAAAATAAGTTAATATACTACTACAACTATAGCCTAAGTATTTTTATAGTCTGAAAACGTCATATAATTACATTATTATCAATATGGTTGAGTACATCGTTCTCAATATATGCAACCAAACTATCACTTGACCATTGATCTCCCATTTAATTACGTAGTTGATTCTTGGCAATCTTTATTGTAGAAAATACTTTCTCTACCGTAGCGGTAGCAATGACAGAATTAACACCAATGTTACAAGCTTATAAACTAATGGGTACACTTCATTTTTTTGGTCATAACCAACTTTTTCGCAAGATGATTAAGTCCTCGTAACCCTTCAAAATCTTCGTGAGTGCTCATATCAATAATATATGTTTGAATTTGCTCTTCAAGTGTCAAGATCTCTATTGGTTTAAAATCATTGGGATAATACTCACACAATTGAATAACTTGTCCTATCGAAAGAAGAAAATGAATTATTCGAACATCGTGCAATACAAAGGAGTAAGTCGATATTTGCCTTGGAGAAACGATCATTCAACTCTTGAATTTGCATATCAATAACAACATAGAAGAAATCCACACGAAAATGATGAAGATTTGTCATTCCTTGAGTGTTACGCCTTGAGCGACCTAGAGGTATAAACATATCATCCATATTGGGAATATCAATGTAGTGGCTTTCGCAAAAACAAGAAACTATTCTTAAAAATGAGTCTCATTCATTGTTCCTTGTTATTTGGAGTCGTTCTTTACATATTTTCACTAATTTCATAGCATTAACAATGTCTTGATCTCTTCTTTGTAATGATTTCGACAATTCATTGCAGTACCTTTTTCATGAGATTCAGACTGAATACAAAATCAAATGTCAACATAAATTCCAACAAAATACACGCTTCACCTCTCTTTCCACAACTAGTATCATCAGGTAACTTCATGGGATAATACTCACACAATTTTAGTGGGGTCAATTGACCCCACATGATCCCATGTGGGTCCGTCCTTGGTGGCCTCTATCCCCCGACGAACTCCTGTAAGTTTTTGTTCAACTGTTTTTCTATGAGAATTTTGAGATTAGACAATAGGTTTGCTTAGCAAAAATTAATTGGTATTTCTTGCATTGCTTTTTTACATGTATTATGAGGTTGGATAATAGTTTTTGACCGTGGACGTGAGGTTGGATTATGAGGTTGCACTGGTGCTTGGATAGTTGTTTTGCGTTTTTCACATGTGAAGTGAGGTTGGATTGCATTCTTAATGAAACTGGGCACTTTCTAACCACCCTTCGTTCCTTGCACTTACTCATATGTTGAAATCACCTGTTTAATTTGTCTTGCAAAAACGCTTGATGTGGGATCTTGTAATTCAATTGCATTAATGTGGGTTTATTTGTCTGTCCAACAATTTTCGATTAGAATGAGAAGAAAGAATTTTGGAGTTTGTCATAGTTGCATAAACAACACTCGCTACTTTGGACATTGCCAAACAAAGTGAGGATTCCGTTGGTGTAAACACGGATTTCGACTACGTTTAGAGGTCGAACAAGATACTGGAAACAAATGGCGATTGTTCTTTACGTGTAGTAATGATTGTGGATATTTCGACTGTGTGAAAAAAGAAGATTTAAGGGGAGAATCGAGTACCATTATCGAAGCGGTGAATCATGAGCCCAACGAGGAAGGTGAAGACTTGCCAATAATGTTTGACAGGCTAACTCGAATTATTGAGAAACGAGACGTCGACATATCATTGCACTTGACATTCTGCAAGGGAAAATGAATTGTAAAATGCGATGGTAAAGTAAAGGGGCCAGCTTGAACGGGTGACTTGAGTTACGTTGGTGGTAGAAAGACTACCACGATGTCAATTTGTATTTGTTATATGTTTCGTTGTAATGTACTAACTGTTTGAACCTAGGTTTGTTATTATGGTTTATCTTGTAGTACTATTTGCAAAATGTTTGTTTTTGTGGTTTATCTTGTTTTAGGTTTGTTACTCTTATTGATAAGATTGGATGAGTGTATGCATTTTAATTATTCAATTAAGAACATATATTCCTGTGACAGTATTGAAACACCCAGATTCATACCCTTGTACAGTTTAACTCAATTAAAAATCATATAACATAGATCTCATTGATATGAATGAATTCTTTTAACATCTTACTGCATTAATGACATAGCTTAACAAACTTCAGTAGTAACTCTATATACCACTTCCGAAACAAGTATTAATAGATACAAGAAATCTAATACTCCAACACAAATTTCGAAACTGAAAATTCCAAAATAATGTTAACACCAAGCAACCTCCTGTTACATGTTCAATAATGTCATCAGGCCGAAAATCACAAGTTGGTGCCACCTTGCTCGGGGAAATGTTGATAGTAGTATGGCATGACATGACCTAGTGCACAAGATGAAAATTAGTATATGCTTAAAAGAAAGGATGATACATACATTGTAGCATACCGTAACTGTATTTACCTTGAGCATTGACTACAACATTTGTAGGCAACAGACGGACGAATGTTGAATAGGACAAGTGTTCTATGATGGCTTGATTGGCATTGTCCACCTAAATGAAATAATACTATGTTTAACACTTCAGACCATTCAAACTAAATAACATAAGTTACTAACCATTAGGTGTTGTGAAGATGAGAACGGTGTCAACATTGAACTTTGTGGTAGCCGAGATGTCTCGACGTTGGTTGTAGCCTCTTGCGTATTACTAAGCCTAGCTCTAGGCATCTTTCCTTTGGTGGACGCTTAAGTGGCCTGCATGTTCATCGAATGAAATCAGAATATGGTTAAAAATTCTCAATCAATTAAGAGGTCAACAAAGAAAAGTAACTTTACTTTCTTCGAAGTGGACTTCAACGGCCTGTTCCTCCGAAATTTCATAGGCTCACCCTTTCTTTTCGATGATTTAGGTAATATGCTCACTACCAAAATTTTGCGAGTCATTACAATTAGAGGCCGAACAAATATTATGTTGCGAAGGGACAATGCTTCCACTACTCAATTGCATTTTGCATTACCTAGTCTTGATGACTGTTTCATCTTTGGAAAAATGATCTCAATTGTATTTTGTATTGCCCCTATCTTGATTAATAATGGTTCCATTGGGAGTGAATGACATGTCATACTTATTAGAAAGATACGTAATATCAAAAGTGACAACATCGTCGAACTCTTTGTAGGATTGTGACTTACCCCTTATCATATTCTTTTGAAATGTTTCATGTACCTATAGCAGCGTTCTAAAAAGTGGCATACAATGTCCCTTTAAAATCAATATTTTCGACTCTCAATCCTATAAAAAAGGGAAAAGAAAGATTATAAAACGAAAAGTGATATAAATAAAAAAAATGATTAAAAAAACTCAAAAAAAGTGATAACAACAATTTGTGAACTTTTTTGGACTTTTGAGGTTTTGGATGCAATTAATACGAAAATTTATAGTTCAATCAATTTTAAGGGTATTAATTTAATATTTTATTTCTTGAGCAGCCCCTTGACTAATCAAATCTAGGCTTAAAAAAATATTTTTTTAATTATTTTTTAAATTCGAGCTATGTTTTTTTCAAAAATTAATTTCTAAAAATTACTCTCCCTTAAGTAATTTGCGTATTCCAAATCAATAATCTCATTATAATTTATATATTTGTGACACAAAAATAAAATAAATTTTATGAATTATGCTATTGTATATTTTCTTGTGCTACTGGTTATTTTAAGCGTTATTAAAATTGAAGGTAAAAATATTAATCATCTTACGCAATGTCAACCAAGCTATCAACTAAAATATATCTGTAGCAAAACTGAAGCGTTAATTGTTTTGGGAACACAACAATTTTAAACTCAACAATACGTGCTCTAAACTTCCTTTTGAGAGAGGCTACTTGTACCGGTCAGGGTGACAAACACCCTGATCGGCCCCTCACAATGTGGGGGGCCCACTTTTTTATTTTCAATTTTTTATTCACGTGGGATCGGCAATCATGTGAGCGTTTGTCAAACTTTTTGTCAAATTTTTTTTGTACAAATAGCCTTTTTTATTTTCAATTTTTTATTCACGTGGAATTGGCAATCATGTGAGCGTTTGTCAATCTTTTTGTCAAATTCTTTTTGTACAAATAGCCTTTTTTCCTTCCTTTTTCCTCGTCAGTTCAAACAGAAGGTCACAGACGTGCAAGATTTTGTAAGTAGAAATTGGAAAATATGCGCAATGATGAAGATTTTTGTTGCCAAAACATGGACATAATAGTCATTTAACTGTTCAATCCCCAGATAAATAGACACACCAAGCACGGTCGTGTTACTATCTCGACACTGTACGAGTGAAAGGGTCAATAGTTTTGAATAATCCTACCTAACAAGTGATGCTACGACGTTAAACCAGGTGGTATGATGTGATAAGTGTAATTAAATGAATAATTTAATTGTACGTCTTATAACTTATAACGTGACATGTGAAATAATGTTTATTAGTATTGCTAAATGATTTTTCAGTGTACTAATTTTTTCTTCATAGCTCAGAGAGCGGACAATAATTGCGTGTCCATCAAGATTAGTCAGATTCTCTTCCTCAGTTTTTCATTTCCCCATGCCCACTGCCCAGCTCTCTCCAATAATGCTCCTCTCCACCCCAACCACCTCCGCCGGCACAGCCCAGCCAGAGCTCCTCCACGAGCCACCGCGTTTCAGCGAAGATATAGACGTAGAAAGCACTTGCTCCACCCCTTTTGTAAGTGCACCTTCCAGTCCTAGCCATGGCTCTTCTGGTTATTTCTTCAGTGCTCCAGCCAGTCCAATGCACTTCTTGTTATCCAGGGAGAAACATAAACCTTCTGACTATGAACCCGTTTTATTTTCGTCGGATTCGGGTTCGTTTGAGTTTGAGTTTTCGTCTCGGTTTTCGCCAAATGGGTCAGGTGGGTTAAGCTCCATGACTTCTGCTGATGAGTTATTTATAAATGGTCAGATCCGACCCATGAAACTGTTCACCCATGAAGAAGAAGATCAAGACGTAAGAGGTAACAGCACAAGAGGCAGGGATCTGAAAGTGCGCAGCAATAAATACGCTCACCGTAAAGCCAGATCCATGTCGCCATTAAGAATCGCACAGTACGAATTGCAGAGAGTGAAAAGTGTTCCTATAAGTAAAGATCGAGGGAATGATTTGAAAGAAAGTGAAGTAGTGCTCTCGAGTGAAACGACGCCGTCATGTTCAGCATCGTCGTCAAGGTCCTCATCATCAGGGAGGAATTCAAAGAAATGGATATTTTTGAAGGAAATATTGCACCGGAGTAAAAGTGAAGGTAGGGCCAATAACAAGGAGAGATTCTGGTCGTCTATTTCATTTTCTACGGCCAAGGAGAAAAACAACTCGCCGTCGCCGGATAATAATAAAGAAGAAATTTTTGTGGACACCCAGAAGCAGAAAAAACACATGAAGGTTCCAGCTGCCGGGAAACAGGCGAACGGCGTGTGGAAAAGGAGAGAGCTGCCGTCAGCTCATGAATTGCATTACACGGCTAACAGGGCTCAATCGGAGGAGATGAAGAAGAAGACATTTCTGCCCTACCGGCAAGGGCTTCTAGGGTGTCTCGGATTCGGGTCCAAGAGTTACAATGCTCTGAGTGAATTTACCAGGACCCGAACTCCTTCTAGAAACAGCTCAAAAAATTCAAATTGGAGTCTCTGAGTAATCTATGAGAATGACACCAATTATTTAGAATTTACCTATTAAGTTTTTGTTCTTTTTTATTTGATTATATTTTCCATGTATCATGTCTCCTTCTCTTGCTGGAAGCATGATGTAATTTGTGCTTCTATTGGTTCATGCCGTGTAATTTATAATTTTGAATATTTCAGTTGATCGGAAAATCGTGTATTGATTGATGCTATAATAGGTTCCAACAAGGACCACGTGGGTTTTTCAGTTAAGTCAGCTGTTCTGTGCAAATTCAATATGTAATGTTAGATTCTGATGATTTCACATGGCCAACATATATAACAATCTTCTTCTCTTGTTTGGTTTGCTCTTTTAGAATTTACGGTTGAAACTTGAAAGGTAAAATTGTTGAAAATTAATATAATAGAGCAATGTATTTAAGTTGAATGAAATTCTAATAAGAATTCATAGATTTCAAGTCTAGTCAATTCTATGGTTAATTTGTATTTTAATTGGTTCAATTCGATAATCAATATGTGGTTACAAATTTATTCATGGCTATTATAATATTATTTGTGTTAAATAGAAAATTAACTAAGAATTTGAAATCTGCCTCGTCCTAGTATTATTCTACGCTTTAAAAGTTTTGAGAGTTCTTTTTTCATTCTAAGTTCTCTCTTCTATTTGTTTCAAAAGTTTATTTCTTAATAATTTAGGTAGTTTAGTTATTTGTTCTAATTTGGTGATAGAATTGTGAGCATTCGTAATTCACCTAAAGTAGTAACGAGGTGCTCGTTTACTACTTTCAACCGTTATATCTTGGGAGACGGGTGTTATCAGTCATCTATCACCACAATGGGCACAAATCTATTTTAAGAAAATTGAGTGCAACACAGTCCTCAATTCTTTTCAATCCCGCTATTAATTCAACAACCATTTCTTCTAATTTTATTGTTACTCTATTTATTATAATATTTTCTTCTATTATTTTATTTATACAGTTCGAGCAATATTTCTAATTTCCTTTTTTTTCTAAGATCTTAAAAAGGATTTGACTCAAAGGATGGATGAGGTGCTAAATTTTAAAGAAATATTATTGTGAAAATAATATTTTGCACAAAATTTATAAAATCTTGAAAACTGAAAGTTACGATATAGAAATTAGACTGAGTTTTAAATTTGACCACTTGTGAGCCCTCAAGCCAACTTGGGAATTGAATGTTTTTTTAAGGAGGTTAAACTTGTTGAGGCTGAGTTTAGATCTATGGCTGTCAATGAATTTAATTTTGATCCGAATCTGACGGAATTAATGGGAGATGGATTTAGGGTCTCAATCCGATGACCCGATCAAGATCCGAATTCAATAATATGTAAATTAAATAGATCAAATATTGATATAGGTCAATCAGATCCTATTTGTTATAAATAATTGAGTTAATAATTTTTATGGCATATTATTTGTTACTAAAATAAATAATTGAGAAAATAAATAAATTTAGAATAAAAAAGTAATCAAGTTCAAAACATAAAAAATTTGAAAAATTATAATTTTTAAACTTGTTTAAGAATTGGAAATTTGAAAAAAAAAATTGATTTTTAAAAATCGACCCGGACATCGACCCTGAAAATGAAGAGGGTCAATGGTCAAAAAATCAAATCGATATCGAACCGGTTGTCAAATTGAATAAATAACTATANTTTATATTTAGAATTGAAATTGAAATTTAATTTTACCTTATCCCACGTCGAATGTCAATAGAAAATTAGAAGATGATCTTTCCTTTAAAAATGAACATCATGATGGTAGAAGTCACTATTGGGCTTGCTAGTAAAAACATGTGGGCTTCAAGTTAGTTCAAATTTTTTTAAAGAACATTGATTTTTTCCCTAATTTTTATTAATTTCGATCGAATTATCGGATAAGATATACGATAACATAGCAAATCGAATATGGATTTAATAATCAAATATCCGTTGGATTATCGGATCGGATAATTTTTTTGTCGGATCAGATTGATATAGACAGATCCGATCCACATCCGATTCATTTACAGCCCTACTTAGACCCCTCTAGTTTTCTTTGAAAATTATCTGTAAAGTGATATTCGGTTATCGGGAAAAAATAGCTTTCTTGAAAATAAGTATATATATTTATTTATTCTTTTTTTTTTTTTTACAAAATTAGCATATTTTGGGTATTGAGAAAGTAGCATAATTTTCGAACAGTTTTGAAAAAATAGCATATTTCTCAAGTGAAAAATTAGCATTTTTTCGTAATTGTGAAAATTGTATAATTTTAAAATTATTTGAAAAATAGCATATTTTTTAAATTAACGCAACTTGATATTTCAGGAATGGCAACTGAATCAACTAACATGGATGCGACTCAGACCGAAGCTCCTGAATATCAAGCTAAGTCTATTGTAGCTTGGACTGTGGCTAAACTGTTAGTTATGTTGTATGTCAAACTGTGGCAGACCATATCGTAACTGTTCCAGTTAATCATGGAAGAAAATTAGAGAAATTCAATTACGTGAATTTGAAGAGGTGATAGCAAAAAATGTTGTTTTACCTGACTCTTGACTGAGACTCTCCCAAAATTCTCTAAAGGTAAGGGAAATGTCCTAGCAATCAACACACTTGATGCTTGGACCATTCAGATTTTTTGTGCCGAAATTATATTATGAACAGCTTGGCAGATTCACCATACAACGTGTATAGTACGATGAAAACTGATAAAGAGTTGTGGGAGTCATTAGAACGAAAATATAGATCGAGGATGTCGGGACTAAGAAATTCATTTTTAGCTGATCCTTAGATTATAAAATGGTGGACTCCAAAATTGTAATTAGTCAAGTGCAAGAATTCTAAGTGATTCTTCATGAGATTCATGCTAAAGGAATGAACTTGAGCGAAACTTTTCAAGTGGCTACAATCATTGAAAAGTTGCCTCCAACATGGAAAGATTTCAAAAATTACCTAAAACATAAGGGAAAGGAAATGAATATTGAAGAACCGATAGTTAGGTTGGAATCGAAGAAAACAATCGAAGTTCAGAGAAGACGATGTTCAATCTTGGTATAACTAAAGTCAATGTTGTGGAACACGATCAAAGTTCTAAGACCTATAAAAATAAACCTAGGCGATCCGGTAGCAAAGGGTCTAAATTGGGACCAAGAGGAAGCATTTTCAAGAAGAAATTTCAAAGAAAATGTTTCAATTGTGACAAAGTAGATCATAAGTTTTCAAAATGCAGACTGCCGAAAAAGAATAATAAGAAAGAAGCCAAATGTGTTTACGTCAAAGACATTGAAAATAGTTATGTCATTATATGTCTTTACGTTGACGACATATTTATTGTTGGTAGTTACTAAAAATATGTTTAATTTAAGATTTTGTCATGAAAGGTATGAGTTAAGATGATGTAATATTTGGGGCTACAATTACATCATATTAACTTGTTCTAAGTCGGTCACATTATGTGGATAAAATTTTGGAAAAGTTTAACAATGATGATTCTGGCATGGCTATAACACAGATAGATTCAAGTCAGCATCTATATAAAAACAAAGGTGAAAGTGTATTTCAAGTAGAGTACTCGAAAATCATTGGACTAAGATACAGAAGCTGACCACTAGAAAGGAATACCAAGGGTACTAAGATACTTAAGATATACTTGTATCTATGGACTGCACTGTACCAGATATCAAATACTCATTGAAGAGTATAGTGATGTTAATTAGATATCTGATATAAAAGATTCAAAGCCCACTAGTAGATTTTTGTTCACATTGGGAGGTGCGATTATATTTGGAAATCCTCTAAAAAAATAGTTATAGCCAGAAATACCATGAAATCCGAGTTTATAGTTCTGGATAAATGTGGTAAAGAAGTTGAGTGGTTACGTAATTTTTTAAAGGATATTCCGAGATGATCTAAACCTTTGCCAACAATTAGCGATTGGAAAGACACAAAATAACATGTATAATAATAAGTCTAGACATATACATTGTATACATAATACCATAAGGCAACTACTTTCAGTTGGGATTATCTCTATTGACCATGTCATGTCAAAAGATAATATTGTGAATCCGCTAACCAAAGTGTTAAATAAAAAGTTGGTTGAAAATTTATCGAAAGGAACGAGACTTAGAATGTGTCTGGTTGAGCTTTTTGGCAAATTTTAATCATTTTTTCACCCATTAATCATCCACTCAGCCCCACAACATTTGACTTCTCATCTCACATGCGGGTCCCACGATTAGAAATAAACGGTAAAAAAATCAATTAAAAGAGCCAAAGAAAGCTGAGCCAGACACACCTTTAAGTCTTTGAACGAATGAATTAATACAAAGGAAACACAACATAATTGGCTAGAGATACCAAGATCTAGATTGAAAGGGACAACCTAATTATAAAAACTTAACCGAATTACTGTGAGGGATATGATGTCTAGTCAATTCCTACGATGTAGAAGCAATGCCCGTAAAGATGAATGATAAATAATAGGATTTTAATGATTCTTATGCGTAGAAGACCAAGCGAAGTCAATGTGTGTTACTTGTATTAAGAAATCACTCATATAAGAGAGAAGTATGGACACTTCTAAGAGAATTGTGTGAGGCTTAATTCTTAGAACTTTTCACAAAACTAGGGAAATGTTCATAGCCTAAATGAGCATAAGTGTGAGGATTGAGTTGTGTTAGGAAAGCGTGTCATCATTTACACAAGTGGCAGAATAGTTAAAGGATATTATGTTTACTAATCATTAGTAAGGTAAATATACATATACAAGGGAATGTTCAAAGAGTAACGTCTACCTATCCTATGCAGGTTTCGACCGTTGAATTTTATCGCCTGGTACATCTCTCTCGTTGTTTTAATTTCATACATGTGGGGGATTGTTGAAAAATAATATATTAAAGTAATACATTCAAGTTGAAATTGTAACAATAATTTATTGGTTTCAAATCTAGTCGATTCTATAGTTAATTTGTATTTGAATTGATTCGATTCTATAATCAATTTGTAGTTACAAATTCATTTATGACTATTGTAACATTATTTGCGTTAAATATAAAATTAACTAAGAATTTTAAACATTCCATATATTAAAAAGGGACGAACCTCATCCTTGGCGGCCCCCAACGGTCCTGTCTTGGGCATTGGTGAGGAGGTAAATCGCAGATTATACCTTTAAGGGTATATGGTGGAAGGCTGCTTGTACACTGCACTTACTAAATGACCAAATTCATATTTCAGGATTCAAACCCTTGACGCGACAGTTTCAAACAAAGTTGGAGTTTTTCCACATTCCCCTTTTATCATTTGGAGATGTGTTATGGGAGCTAAACATTCCATATATTAGTACTATATAAGGAGGTCTACTCCTTGTTCTACACCAAAATTTTTTAAAAGTTTTTTCTTTAGTCTAAATTTCTCTCTTCTCTTTGGTTCAAGAGTTTAGTTTTTTAGTAATTTAGGTAGTCTAGTTATTTATTTTAATTTTGTGATAAAATTTTGAGTATTCTTAGTTAACTAGTTTCAACTTTCAACCGTTTTATCTTGGAAGACAGACGTCATAAGTCCTCTTGCACCACAGTGAGACGGCGAATCTATTTTAAGGAAACTGTGTGCAATACATGTTTCGATTCCTTTTAGAACCGCTACTACCTCAATAATCATTTTCTTTAAATTTATTGTTACTCTATTCATTGTAATATTTAATTTCATTAATTTATTTATACAATTTCAGCAGTGTTTTTAATTTCCTTTTTATAATTTTCCTGACAAAAATTACGTGTTCGGATAAGTTGTTATCCTTAAATTGTCTTAGGACCATTTTTCCAGTTTGATTGGCATAGAAAAGTAAGTGAAGAAAAAAAAAAATCCAAGGAAAACTTGTCAAAATTGGAAAGGTTATTTCCTTCCAAACGACGAGAAAGAAAACTGTACACCGAAGAAGTCAATCGATTTGGGTCCTTATTGGACCGATCAACAGATGTGCTTCAAGCCTTCAACATCTCTATATGGGTAAGCATCATGGGCGGACTTATTTCAATTATCCATATTCAGTAGCCTATAATAAAAATATTATCCAAGTTAGGATACGATAAGCGATATCATCATATTTTAAACAGAAAAGCCAAAATTTATCTTCATAAAACAATCCATCTCAGTCAATTGTGTAAATATTTTATAACGATAGAAGAGCTACTAGAGTATCTTTAAGACTCTTTAAACACGATATATTATCTATTTTAAAGAGTCAACATTTAAAAAAATTAGTTAAAATAAAAGATAAAGAAAAATAATAAATATTTTTTAGGAGTAGCCGAGCAGTAAAATTAAGTGTTAAATATAAAGAATTTGTTGGAGTATTTTAAAATTTTAACTCTCTAAATTTATAGACGCTCTTCAAATGATAGAATATGTTCTTTAAAATAGAGAGCCTATTGAAAATGCTTTAAGAAACAGAATCAATGCAAAGTTTAAGAATGTTCGTTGGGATAAATCTAGAAGCACTAGCACAAAGTTAAGTATTGCCTTCTTGCTATTGCTGATGGGACAACATTCTATCGGTACATATTCTTGATAGTTTTGATTCTAGAATAGGAACTTCACGACACATGCTTGATGTCTTCTTAAAGGTGGGCAAAGTTACTAGATCAAATCGGTCAATTTAGTTCGATTTTACATAAATTCAATTCGACAAAGATTTCCAGCATATCTTGTAATAATATTGATGTTTCTCGTCACAGTCACCCAATCCCACAAAAATTGGCATTTTGTATTTGAGTTAATGGAAAAAGACAAGTTTTGACCAAGTAGTTCAAAAAAGGAAAAATAAAATAAAATAAAATAAAATAATAGAAAGAAATAAAGACGCGCACCATCGCGTCTTTATTACTCTAATCACGAAGAAAACTTTTATACAAGACAACTTATATAAACATGCTATCATTTGTTCCCGCAACACTTAATTTTTATATAGAATCTAATTCCATGTTTGGTCCCATTAAATTTTAATTTATTTTTCACTCACTTCTTATCAATTATACATTCTCTCAATAAAATAATATTACACATAAACTAAAAAAATTTCTTTACTTTTTAACCACATGTTCTTAAAGAAATTATTTTAAAATCAACTTTTTTCAAATAATGAAGCTCAAACAAGGGCTGAGACAATTAACACACACTAACCTCTTGGGTCTACAAAAAAAAACAAGGGCCAATTAGCCAAGAAAACACATCAGTCGAAGGCCCAATCAAGTTATCGACACTAAAAAAAGGCTCAGGATGTGTTTGATGGATGTTATTGAGAAAATAATGTATTTTAAATAGTGAAATCTGTAGTTAAAAAGAAAGAAAAAGTTATTGATGTGATGTAAAATATTATTTTATTGAAAAATGTGTGGTTAATAATGAATTTTTAAAGAATATATTTTTAAAAAAATGTGTACCAAACGGAAGCTGAACACCAATTCTTCTTAACAATTATTAGTTTACTTTTCGTTAATTTTAAAAGTCACTGTTTTATTATTATTATTTGATTTTGCAAAAGTAGGTTTTTGTATTGTTTTGAAAAAGTAGCATTTTTATTTTTTAATTAACTTTTTCGCTAATATTACAATATAGAAATAGAAAAATGGCAAATAGGGTTTAGCGGTGGAGGAGAAAGTGAGAAACCCTTGGCTGGACTTGGACCCATTATAAAATGAAAGCGACTGGACTTTGAAACGAGGAAAGGGCGTTCTCTATTCGCTCGGAAATTTACACGGACTTCTGGTGTTCCGTAAAAATCTCTAGAGGCATATAATTTGCAAAGAGAAAATCGAAGTAATAGAAGATGAAGTACGTTTTGGTTACTGGTGGTGTTGTGAGCGGGCTCGGAAAAGGAGTTACCGCCAGCAGCATCGGCGTTGTTCTCAAAGCCTGTGGCCTTCGTGTTACATCTATTAAAATTGGTCAGTTTTTTTACGGGTTATTATTATTTTAGATTTGTAACTTGACGATAAGTTAATTGCTGATTCATTTTTGCTGCGATTTGGTATATTGCCATTTGTTTGAAGAGAGTGCTATGATTTTGACTTATTTTTTATCGGGTTACTTGGAATTTAGCTTAGCGTCTGGTGTGATTTATCTTCTCCTCATGCTTTTTATTTATTTTTAGCACGAGTCATTTTTAATTTTTGATCGAATGGTAATTTTCGTATGTTACATCCATATGAACATTCTGTATCGTACACACGTTTAATTATGAATTTGGTCCTTTAATTATGAATTTGGTATTTGAGGTAAATTTGGTTACATGGTGTTGGTGGTATTTATGTTCTTCTCTCTTGACAGATCCTTACTTGAATACCGATGCTGGTACCATGTCTCCGTTTGAGCATGGGGAGGTTTTCGTTCTCGATGATGGCGGAGAGGTTTCCTCATCCTTCTCTTCATTTATTTGCAATATCATAGCTTTTTGGTTTCAGTTGTTTTAATGATATGAAGAATGCTGCAAGAACCAAATTTAATCTGAAAATTACTCCTTCATCAAATAGTTATATTATTCAATCACTTCATTAGGTTTAATCTGCATACGCTCATTATATTATGTTACTAGATGTGTCACGAGTTTGACTTCTTCACACGGTCATGTTTAGACAGACAACTATTAGCTGCCATCTATTATAGGAGTCAAGTAAAAACATGATAATCATTAGCTGTTCTGATAGTAGTTGACTCTCACTGCCCTCAATCTGCATCAGATTGGATGTGTATTTTGCTTACAAATTGAATGTGTATCTTTCTTTCGAGCTCCCAGTGTCCTTTTCTTCTCAGTTTATCGTCCATGATAACACCTAGACTAATTGTACTGAGCCCATGTTTGGGAGCCATTTTGGCCGGCTATTAATACATTTTTTGCCCGTTGGAAGGTACGTAGGACCCATCTTTTTCAGTAATTATTGACTGCACATCTTTGCCACTTACCAGAATTGCCCTTATGTAACGTGGAGGGGCACATTGGTAATTTTACATACATTCAGTCAATAATAACTGCAGCCCTCTCTGAGAAACACTGTATAACGGACAGAATTCGGCTAAAAATTTGCTCCAAAATGCTGAACAAAAAAGCACTAAATCTGTATTTCCATTTTAAAATTCTGGAATCTGAGCAGGCATGCAGTCTGTAAATTGGCGTCTCTTACTTTTGTGGAATATTCATATCTCCGATGATTATGTTATATTCCCCCAGTTCTTTATCAACAATTTCTAATGTTTGTTCTCTGAAGTTAGCCCGCTTATTTTAGCTTCAAAACTACTATCTCATAATTCTATTTCTACTGCATTGTTTTAATAGGTAGATCTAGACTTGGGTAACTATGAGCGATTTTTGGACGTGACACTTACGAGAGAGAACAATATTACAACAGGAAAGATATATCAGGTTTCTGTCTCACTAATTTGGCTGCTTGAGATATTTTTATGCTTATATTCGGAGAAACTTACCCTGTTCATTCATTTGTCAGTCTGTTCTTGAAAAGGAACGGAAAGGCGATTATCTTGGAAAGACTGTGCAGGTTTTGCTATATTCATTAGTAATTTAGTATTATTTGGGACATCTAAAATGAGAGACGAGTGAGTAATTATTCTTGTTATTTGCTCTGCATTCCTGATTTGATTGCAGGTTGTTCCCCACATCACCGATGCCATTAAGAATTGGATTGAATCAGTATCTGTTATTCCCGTGGATGGGAAAGATGGACCTGCAGATGTATGTGTCATAGAACTGGGAGGGACTGTAGGTACAACTCTTTCCGGATGAAAGAAATTCTCGCACTGAAACTTTTAACATTTCTCATTTTTGGCCATCTCTTTTTTTCTGCACAATAATCCAAGAAATGTTTTCCCTAGGCGATATTGAGTCAATGCCATTCATTGAAGCTCTGAGACAATTGTTTTTCTCAGTTGGTAAGGTTGCATTATTTTCTGCATTTTCCAATGGCTTGGTCAGAACATGTACAAATGTTTTGCATGCCTGTTTCTTAAAATTTTGTCAGATTATTGTTACTTGTTAGTGTTCATACCAATCCCATTTTTTCTCACAGGACAAGATCATTTCTGTCTGATTCATGTCAGTCTTATACCCGTTCTTGGCGTCGTGGGTGAGCAAGTAATATCCTATGCCTCTCTTGCAATATCAGTTTGAATGATCAAAGTATTGATTTTCGAAGAGTCAAATTTATTTTCCATCATCTTCCTTTTGAACTTAACTTCTATCTCTGTGTATGCATGTTGGCAGAAAACGAAGCCCACACAGCATAGTGTGCGAGAATTGAGAGCACTAGGTTTGACTCCTCATTTTCTGGCATGTCGTTCTGCTCAGGTGTGGATGCATTACTGTTTTGCTTTGAATAAATTTATAGACAAGTTGAATAGGATATTGCATTTCATGCACCTTTGATACTTCACCTAGATAGATTGGACTTGTTATGCTCATATATCATCTGTTCTTGTTAAATATTATTATAGAAATGTATTGTTAGAGCTTGAATTGTTGAGCAGCAACACTCTGATTATGGTATGTACATTCTGGTTTCAGTATTGTAGACTGTGGTTGGTATGCATTAAATATGCATGTCTCATCAACATTATTCTCCTCTTATGTGGTCTTGACGTCATGTATGTTTGTTGCAGCCATTGTTGGAGAATACAAAGCAGAAATTGTCACAGTTTTGCCATGTCCCTGTAAGTTATTCATAATACTTTTTGTAGGACTTTTCAAATTGGATACTTGCTCTCCTTTTATTATCTTGTAATGGTTTTTTGCTATCCCAGGTTGGAAATATTCTTAATATCCATGATGTTCCAAACATTTGGCATGTTCCTCTTCTGCTCCGGGTGGGTAATATTCTGTTGAGGGCTTGGCACTAAACTATGCTTTGCACTATTAAGATATTCATCCCTGATTTCTGATGTTGTTCTTTGGTCCAGAACCAAAATGCACATGATGCCATTCTAAAACATTTAGACTTATTGAGGTAAGTTCTTATCTGAATACTTTAGCCTCTTACATGCTGTTTCACCTGCTGGTACTGTTAATCTTCATGAGTAAAACAAAATAGAGCCAGTTTCGAACTTGGATACTGTATTCTGTGTGCTGTAAGATATTTCAGTATAAATGTTCTGATCCAATCGCATATATTGTGTACACGAATTTAAAATGGTCTAGAGTAACCCTATCATCTAGGCTTATATTTCTCTCATTTATCAACATTCATTGCAGTGTTGCCAAGCCTCCTAACTTGCAAGAATGGACCAAGAGAGCTGAGACATTTGACAGCCTCACTAACTCTGTTAGTAGAATTTGCCTTCAAGTCTCATTTTTCGCCCATTTTATTCTGTCATTGGATGAAAGAAATGATTGCTAATGCAGGTAAGAATTGCAATGGTGGGAAAGTACGTTGGGATGTCAGATTCTTATTTGTCTGTTGTCAAGGTGTGACTATATTATTTAACTCCAACCGTCATTAAGCCAATGTCTCTCTTTGCTTAAATCAGGATTTATTGTTTTGCTCTGGTCCATTTGCAGGCCCTCCTGCATGCGTGCATTGCGTGTTCATTGAAGCCATCGATCGACTGGATTGCAGCTTCAGACCTAGAAGATGAGAGTGCAAATTTGGTACAGAATTCGACAGTTCCATTACATAACTTTTTTATCTGCGTTTTACAATTGTGCCTGATTGTACTCGTGCTATTTATGCTCCAGACACCTGAAGCTCATGCAGTTGCATGGAAAACTCTGAAGGTAATCACTGCATTCTGCATTTTTAGTCATCATCATTCTTTTGTCCCCAAGGTAATTATACTTTTTTCAGAAACCATAGTTTATTATCTGTGCTGAGATTTGTAGTCTGTGATATGCATATAACCAGTTTCTTGATATCTTGAAATCTTCTAGTTTGGGACTTCTAATTAGTAGCAGTAAACTCTTGGCCATAGTTTCCTTCTGTTTGTTGATGTTTAAGATTGTGGTTGTAGTGTGCTAGACATGTCATCATGTTACATATTTTTTCTGTTGCCATGTAAAGAAGGGCATTTTACTGATAATATTTCTCCTACCTGCTCCATTGTGGAGTCTCGTGTGGCAAAAGTTTCTGCTCCTCCGTTGTGGGGTTCCTTTTTCTGTCCTAGCCACATGTGGTCAAGTTGCATGATAATCCTAAATTTATGAACTGGCTGAAAATTCTGTTGATACCAAAAGACACCACGTTTTCAGAATGCTGCATGTGTTTTGGTTCCTGGTGGGTTTGGAGATCGTGGTGTGAAAGGGATGATATTGGCTGCAAAATATGCAAGAGAAAATAAAGTTCCCTATCTCGGGATTTGCTTGGGGATGCAAATATCTGTGATTGAGATTGCGAGATTTGTAAGTAGTTTCTTTTAATAATCATGGACTTGTTCTTGTTTTTTATGATCAAGGACTACCCACTTCCACGCTATGCAGGTTTTGGGCTTGGAAAGGGCAAACAGTAACGAGTTTGATGATAAGACTCCCAATCCTGTCGTTATTTTCATGCCAGAGGTAGTTCATTATATAGTTTGAAGGGATATTCTTTAAGTCAAATGACAAATGTATTGTCTTTTCCATATGTGCTCCCAGGGTTCAAAAACACATATGGGAAGCACAATGAGACTTGGTTGTCGAAGAACGTTCTTTCAGAATCCAGATTGTATCACAGCAAAGCTGTAAGAAATAATCTGCACCATTCCATTTAAAATGTTGCAATGCCCTATGAGTTTAAGCTTTAAACAAGAATGCCATGTACAGAACCACAAAATACTTGTTTGTCTCCTCTAATTAGTTGAATGGACTGATAGGGCAAATTCATAATTGACGACAAATTTTTATGAAATTTTCATCTTTGATTGCTTTTTTTGCAAACAATACGATCTTCGAGCCATCAAATGTTTTAATATTAGCACCACCTGAAATTGCAAATTAGCTTGAGTACTTCGATTGAAGCTTCAAGTTATGGTATTTATTTCTTTTGATTAGCTGCAATAAAAGAATTATCCGTTCTCTCCTTGGTTCAGGCATGTACTTTTACTTGCAGCTTTGTGAAAGTTCTGCATAACAGTGTAAAACATATTCTTTCCGGACCTGGAGTTTTGAAGAGATTATCACCTTTGTATTCTGCAAATAGAACCTGTTTGGTCCCTCGATGATTTTGCATTCATAAACTATTCTAACAATTTTTATCTTTACAGGTATCACAATTCGGAATACGTGGATGAGCGTCATCGACATAGATATGAGGTTAATCAATATTACTTTACAGCGTCACTATTTGATTGACATTTTATTATCACAAACACTACATTTCCTCATCAAATGTTGCAGGTGAACCCGGAGATGGTTAGCATTTTGGAAGAATCTGGCTTGAAATTTGTTGGGAGGGATGAAAGTGGGAAGCGAATGGAGGTTACCTATCTTTTAACTTATTTTCTGTTGTAGAATTAATTGTCCGATTTATGTAAGGTTTGCTTATGCTCGCGTGCCTAAATACTAATTTATCAGCAGCAAAGTAACCCAATATTTTTCATTGATTTGTGCAGTTACATGTTGAGGTTTCATGATGCTGAATTTCTTCCTCTTTACATCTAATTACTCCTATTTCTGCAGATTTTGGAGCTTCCAGACCATCCTTTTTACGTTGGAGTGCAGTTTCATCCGGAATTCAAGTCCCGGCCAGGGAGGCCCTCAGTTCTATTTCTAGGTAAATCAGTTACAAATTTCATGCAAAATCACTTTACACGAAAAGTGCATATTGGGGGGTTACTATGATGGCCGTATGCTGGCTCTTGGTTGATTTTTTGTGTCGGACAAATGTAAAGATATAATTTGATACCTGTAGAACCACCTGCATTGGTTGTTCATATCTTCTGCAAATGTTACCGCCTATTCTGCTACAATTTTCACTACTTAGAATTAGAATTTGATTTTTTGTTGTCTTACATTGTGGTTACACTTAGCTTTTCATTATTCAGGAGTTTTTGATTGACTAGAATACAATTACCTTCTAGGTCAGGTTCATGAACTGATACCAATGATGTTCTAAAAATGAATGCTACTCTTTTAGGTTTTATACTGGCAGCAACTGGACAGCTGGAAGCTTATCTTAGGAGTCCTCAGAATGGAAGCTTGTAGGTGTTGGAACTCATAATGAGTCCATTATTCCTACGGTATAAAGGTACTTCGGTTTTTTCATTTTTTTTCACATGATTAAATTCATTAACTCCTGACATGATGCCTCCGATTCTATCATCTATCATAACTTACGAGTACCCAATAGCCACGGGCTTTCGTCATGAGGCCCTTGAGTCATGTTGTCTTGTTCTTCTTCCTTTGGGGTTGGGCATAGAGGGTAAGAAATCTAATCAAGACAAACAGTAGGTTAAGGCTTAGTTTGATTTTCATAATGAGTTTGAGATTGAGGTTGGGCTTGGTTAAATTTGTGACGGGTGTCTCAAGCTGAACAAGAATTGAGCTAGATTATCTCTATACTTTTCTATACAATTTTGTTGCCTTTTTATTTTGTCAATCAATCTTGAGCCATGGACAAGCAATCTAATGCGTTCAAGCATGCTTGTCTGCATTTTCCGAGTAAGGGTATTTCGCCCTGTTATCCTTAGATGCACGTATCCGTGGAAGACCTCTATTATTTTTTCATAGTGCTTGTAGTTTTTTCTAGATCATCTGGCTGGCATTTTCTTTCTGTCTTTGTGGGTCTCAGACCTGAATTATCCAATATCTATGACTGGGTTTTTGGTATGCAAGTGCAATGCTTAGGTTCTCAAGCTTCTGATCCTATTTTACCTTGTAGATGTCTGGACTCTGTTATTACTCTCTAAGTTGGACTGCAATTGCATGTTGGTCTAAACTAGTTAGTTACCCACTTCAAAATCTGGACCCGCTTTACCATGTATTAGTCCGAACCCCTCAGACAAATCTTCACCTCAGTTTGTAGAAGCACCTTTCATCATCTTCTGCTTTCGATCCTCCATTCAGGGTTGCAATTTTTTTCATTTTGATTCTGTGTTCTCCAAGGAAAATTTGTATCTAAGAGAGCTTTACTTGGGTGCAGTGGATGCTGGACAAGGGTTATTTTCACGGGATGAAACTAAATTCATGGTGTACTATCAGATCTCTATGGTCACCTCCTGTATTATCGCCACCCTTGGGATTAGAAGCAGATTGCGATTCTGTTTCGTGGTGAGTCTTTATTCATGAAACGGGCGACCTGTTTTCATGCCCAATCGTAATATACATCAATGGGACTAAGTCCCTGAGCGCTTTTATGAATGTACTAATGCTCGTTGCCACCCTCAAGAGTTTTGTAGTAACTGACCAAAATGTTCGCAAATGATAAATTTGGTTTTTATATTCTTTTATGAACTGTGGAAAATAATACAATGAAGTTTTTCTTTTTTTGTAACCTCTGTTTGACTAGTGGAGTCCGAGAAAATTAAGGACACGTTTGATAATTAAACAAGTAAAAACTTACAATTAATCACGTCATATCACAAAATTGGGGGAAAACGGAAAAACACGCTGCAAAAACAGATCAATTCGTCAAATGACTGTTCTTGTAAGCAAATTTGTAATCCACAAGAGGCAAGATTATGCTCTAATTTATGTTATTCTCCTAAACCCAATAAATTTCGTATCTAATTCTTTCCCTTTCTCCACGAGTTGAAATGTCTTTTAGGTTGAAAGTTGAAGAATTGTATTGTGGACCCAGGAAATCTCCATTTAAACATAGAGATAAGTTTTACTTATTTTCAAAAATAAGTTTAAAATTTACAAAGAAAACGGAAAATGACAAAAAAGTGTTTTTAACTGTTTTGAGTTAAAAACAAATCAAAAATTCATTTTTTTAATTATTGAAAATAATTTTTCAAAAAGACAAAAACAAAAAACAAAAAGCATATTAAATAATTTTAAAATTGGCACCAAAAATACAAAATTCAAAATGAATTTAAAATTAAAAATTGATACAAAAAGATAACAGTCTTACGTGTATCTTGGCGCCACTTTGTGAAGGAAACCTATTGCTCATCAAATTACATAAGTTGGGAACTTACGTGCCAAATAAAAAAAAAGTAAGATGCCATTTTAGTAGGGGTGTAAGCAGTCCGATTTTTGCGGTTTTTGACAAATTTTCAAATCAAACCGTTTTGATCGGTTTGAGAAAAACTCAAACCTAAACCAAACCGTTTTGACCGGTTTGAAAAAAACTCAAACTTAAACCTAAC